TCTATGGGTTAGAGAATCAGATCTGACCTCAGAAGGTCAAATTGGTGTTGCCATGGAGGAAACTCGCTGAGCCCAGAAGAGGACTCGACGAGTCGGATCGGGTTGCCCTGCAATTCATGATCAGTGGTAACCTGTCTAGTGAAAGGTTAACTCAATAAGTCGATTAAGGCCGTAGGAGGATTCAGAGGACACACATGGACTCGCCGAGTCACCCGAGTTCACTCGACGAGCCTAGCCAAAGTTCGACCATTGACTGAGTTGACTTTATTGCACCTTAGGGTTGGTGAAACTGATTTAAGAGAGGTCAGGGAGGGATATAATAGTCTTCTACCCATTCTTAGAGAGGAGGATGTAAGGATTTTATTGATTAGAGATGTTATCATATTCATCAGCGGAGGCTAGATCGAGGATTTGAGCACGAGTGTTTTCTAGACATCATACGTGGTGATCCTCTCACTATACACGACCTAGAGTGGTATCTATGTGCAGACCGGAGGGTTATATGTGTATACGTATGTTTTAGATTTATGTGCATTTTGTTATATGTATGCTATGTGTTATACAGACCGGACCGGAGGGTGCAACGATATAGACTGGGCCGGAGGGTCCAACGATATAGACTGGACAGGAGGGTCCAATGATATAGACCAAACTGGAGGGTCCAACGAGCTACTGGACTGGGGCGTCCCGCTAAGACACATTGACTGAAGGGTCATACCGATTTATAGCCTCGAGTGACTTATATGATGTATGTGGTATTTTGGGAACTTACTAAGTATTTATGCTTACCCTGTTATGTGTTATGTGTTTCAGGTACCAGTGAGGTTCGTGGGAAGGCGACGACATTATCTGTACACACTGATAGAGTATTATATATTATTTATTTTGAGATTCTGGGATAAGTTTTCTAAGATATGATTTGATACATTTGAGTTTTGGGATTTCTTTATGAGATATGTTATGCTTTAAAAATGAAAAATTGTTTTCACAATTTACGTTGTTACAATTACATTAGGGCGCCACATTAAAAGTGGGATGATTTTTTATCTTCTGTAAGCTATATTTTTTTTTTCTGTTTTCCTAAGATTAAACACACATAAATCTAAGAATTGGATTCCAATATATGAAAATCACCGTTGGTATTTCTCCCAGCTTCTGTACACTTGGTATTCTGTACACTTGGTATGAATCTTACAAAAGGTTTGGCAATTTTCCTTAAGTTTTTAATAATTATTCACGAATTAATACTTATTTAAGTGAATAAGACTAAGAAAAATATATAAACTATTTAGAAACCAACTTTTATATTTTTTGTAGATGTTATATGTTTAATAATACTGGTAAAAGAGTTTGGGGATATTTTGAAACTATTTTCTGTTTATCTCAATTTTGTTTGAGTAAATACACAAAAATCAAACAAATTAGACTAAACTGTTTGAGAATCAGTTTTTATATTTTTCGAAGCTTATATCTATTTCATAATAGTGGTGCAAAAAGTTTTGGGAATCTTCTTAACTTATTGTTATTTTTCATGAATTTGTATGTATTTAAAGAATTAAATATAGGAAAAGTAGCTCAACATATAAAAAATTCAAGGAATTTTTTTTGGAAGCCCTTGACTGTAATTGGAATAAAATTATACAGTTTGAATTTTTTTGGAAATTGTTTGATTTTTTTTGGATTTTATGAGCCTACAACACCTTTAAATGTGTTGAAATATCCTCAAATAATATTACAAAAATTTGAAAAACAACACCCAAAATTTCCTTAACCACATGAGTTATGAATTTCACCATCTCAAAAACTTGTTACCAAATAATTAAAACACAATACTGAGAACAAAATTTGGCATTTCTATATAAGTAGAATTTAGTATATTAGTGTTTGATTTCGACATAGAAACTCACAAGCTTGTGTTTGATGTTATAGGAACTCGGTAGTAAGGCATTGATGTATTCCAAGGCCCAACTTGTACCAACTTGAATTTTTGTGAGCATTCTCATCACCCTATTTTCAATTTTTATGTTTTGGGGTGGAAAAATATCTCTTAAACTATTTATGTTTGATGTATCTATATTGAATTCTATCAAACTTATTTGCTATATTTTGTGATTTTTTGCTATATATTTGTATGCAACTTGAAACATGAGACTATATCGTCTTAAATACTTTACAGTTTACTCCAACCATTAACTCTTTGAGTGAATGGTCATTATGAATAGCGCTATTAGGAATTGACAACTCCTCATTCACCGATTGCATATGTGTATTTTTACTATGTTCATGTATTGAACGATAAGAATAAGTCTTGATAGGGCGTCAGTCATACGCTTGGTTGTGAACTCATTGTTGATTGTTATGTGCATATAAGGATTATTACATACGTACAAACTTGTTTATACGTTTTAGCAGTGGACTTCTATTTTTTTTTTTGGAAACTTTTACACAAAACCTGGATTTAGTAAACCTGTGAAATCACTAACTATTTTTATAGTTGACCCTTGCTTTATATGCATTTTCAGGAAATAATTAATAAGAGGATTTAAAGACTCATCATCATAGAGCATGTTGTATCGTGTGGAAGTTATATTATGAAATTAACTTTTGAACAATGTAATTTTAGGAAACATGTAATATCTTTCGTTTAAATTTTGGGTTGTAAACTTTAAATTACTACTATGGTGATGTACCATTATCTTTTGCAATGAAACCTTTATCGTTGTCATATCTTGCTTTTCCGCTTTAGCGGAGAGTGACAAATATGAAATTATTATGATTAATCGTATTAATAATGCGACATTTAAAAACGACTAATATATAAATTCCAAAAGTGGTTGGCATTACCGAGTGTTCTTTCCCTAAATGTAAAAGGATTATAATATTTTAGTGAAATACTAAATGTCAAGGCTAGGATATCTAAGTTCATCACTAGAACTTGTCACATCTGTGTATCCCAATATGAACCTTTTTATAGGATAAGACCAAAAAAGTAAAGTTCCTTGGTAAAATCCATGCCAACTATAACCGTTAATATGCAAAGAATGATTAGTGATAAGTATAAGCGTTATATTAATGAATTTATATGGTTCGCCTGCCCACCTAGGAGTTGCTAGCTAAAACTACGTCTAACGAAATGGATTTTTTGCATTGAAGTTAGCACCATTTTAACATTCCCTTATGTTATCCTAAGGTAAATGGCTCGAGCATGCCCTATCAAGGTGTCCGTGTAGAGTGTGGTGTCATAAGTTCAGTTATAAATCATTGTATAAACCTGAAAATCCTATTATTATATGGAAATTGGAATATTTTCTATACAGGATTCAAATACCCCACGATCTGGTAAAGAATCAAGGAAAGTAAGAGGAGTTCCCCTTACTCATACCCATTGGCTTTCAAAGTAACCGTTAGTACGATTCGGTAATGAATCAAGGAAAGTAAGACGACTTTACCTTACTAAGTTCCCATAGAGTTCGATGTAACAGATATGCAAACCGTTAGTAATAATTTAACATATGATAATTTGGGTATCAAAAAATCTAGTTAATTATAAATTCTCTTACGAATTAGGTGAAAGCTAAATAAAGTTCGAAAATGAGAAATAATTATTGAGTTGTCTCGAAAAATAAATAAGGATGGTCATTTTATGTGCAACTCTTTCGATATATATATATATATATATATACATATATACATATATATATATATATATACATATATACATATATATATATATGTACATATATATATATATATGTATATATATATATATATACACACACACAATAACACACACACACACATTTATATATATATATATATATATATATATATATATATATATATATATTTTATGGAGTCAAAACTTGTAGAACTCACCATGAATTTTTTTGATATATTTTAACATGTATTCTTATGAAATTATGGTAGGAATTCCACACAAGGAGTATGAGATCATCAACTTATGTTTCTATTATAAATTATGTTTTATGTCCTCTTCTCGCATTAATGAAGATTCGTAGTGAATCATGTAATAATGTAAGATATAAGTATGAGTTATGTGGTGAAAAACTTTAAGTGGATGATGTAATGTTTAATATATTCTATGTGCTTGACATTCGATTCAAGTAAGTCACCCAGTATTTCTGCCATTGGATAAGGGTGTGATAGATTGGTATCAGAGCCGTAACTATATCAAACTAGTATTTCTGTTAAGATATACAACTATAGACTAGGGCAATACTTCTATGATAAAGGCTTAGTCCTCTAAATCGGTAAATACATAATGGATAACATTAGGTAATAATACGTGTCAAACTAATGTAAGAAAGTCATACTAGGTAACCTCAACGAATAGCAAATGATAAAATGAACTCGAAACTCAGAATTTTAAGATCAAGTACTTAGCTAAAGTTTTATAGAATATATGTCATGCCACAAGTAAACCTAGCTTGCGCACGTAAGTTTTATTATGGAATGATCATATGCACTAGTTTGCTTAAGTATAGTAGTTAATACATTAAAATTTCTGATAATTAAGGGTCCTGAAGTAAAATATGTGAATAATTCTTTGAATTATTTAAACATATATTTTTTTACATAATATTTTTTATGCAAATATTGATTGGTACTTGGAGAAACAAGTAAGGAGTCCCATGCTCACCCCCTCATCTAGCTGGAGATCCCTACTATCTCGACTGTGAGACAAGGTATTAACTAATCACATCGGAAAACATTTCAAAGGATGAGGAACGCAGGGAAGACTCGTCAGAAGGCGAAGAAATGGAAGCGTAAAAAGAGAAATATAATTCTAATGAAGATAATGTTATAAAAAAAAAGATAGTGAACCTATGGAAGCCGAGGTGGTCCCTCCTTCTAGACCTTCAGCTCCAAGTCCTTACAGGAGCACCCGAAAGAGGGCCGGGAAAACATGCCAAACCGCAAGGAAAACCAGTCTTAACCATAGGGGAATTTAGAAGCACGACCATGGACTATCTAAGAGTATGGGGAGGATTTTGAGAGATCCTACTTGGATGGCTGCATTTGTTGAGGATAGGATCTGTGGTGGGAAGCAAGGAAGGATGTTGGCAAGAGAAATGAAAGGAGAAAACCACACTAGACACGTAACATGGAGGAATAGAAGATTAGAGAACCAACTGACCCAAAATCAAAATACGTTGATGGAAATGCAAAGGTTGCTCGACACAGTGATTGCTGTAAGAATGCAACAAGATACCCACATCATGGAAGATGATCTTAAAGATCAAGCGACCCTTATAAAGGTGGGAGTCACTGAAGAGGTATGGCGATTAACAGAAGATTAGATGTGATCGGGGCACAACTTGTTTTGATCAGAAGGGAATTGAACACCTACTTGCAATTTGGATAAATGCGAGAGGGCAAGCAATGGATGGGATGAAAAGGAATATAGTGTAGCCCGTCAAATGCAATGGTAGAAGAACACCTAGGATTAATTATGGAGGTCAAGCAAGTAATTCTAGGTATGATCATGAGATTGGGAATAGATCTTATAGTAGGTATATGAGTCTCCTTTCAAATTTTGGGCTTTTATCCATTCATGTCATAGTCGATAGAATCGCAATTTCCCGAAAACCATGAAAAATTGTAGAAGGATGTATCGTTGTATGTGAAATATAACGAATCCTATTATGTGTTATGTTGATACTAAAAGAATATTTGCAAAGTATACTTTATTATTTTGGGAAATTTCTTGATTTATGCTAAGGTTGAAGTTAAAAATGCACACAAATCAAATAATGTAATGCTAAAACTAATGTATAATAAAGCAACCATCTTAAGTGTCAATGCTAAACGTAATAGATTAATCACCATGTCAACAAGAAGAAGAAGCACTAGGTTGTACTATAACATAACGACTATTGCAGGAAGGATATTTAGGAGGCCCAAGAGAGTATGACGAAGACCTATAGAAAATCCTGTCACACCTAACGCAGGTCTGCCTACAACCACAGTAGAATTAGAACTATTAATGTCCAACCGAATTGTAATTGCTATGATACAACCAAAAAATGTTCCCAACACCACCTCCGAAGCTAGAAATGGTGGAAATGTTAACGGTCAAAGAAACAATTCTCGTGGAGATATTAGAGGACCACAACGAACGTGTGACTATAAATACTTCACTAACTATAAAACCAAGAACTTATACGGGATATAGTGCATTATCGGACTGACCAAATGGATCAAAAACATGCACAAACTGTTTTTCAAATAATCTTTTGTCCTGACGATGGTAAAGTTCGATTTGCAGTAAGTACATTTATGGACTCGAACCTTACTTGGTGGAATGACCAAGTCAAAATTTAGGCATCATCCCTACAAACTCTATGTTGTTAGAAGAACTAGAAATGATGCTAAAAGAAGAATATTGCCCGAGAGATGAGATTCAAGCAATGGAGCAAGAATTATGGAATCTAAATATGAAGGGTCTTGACCTCAAGGCTTATACGACCATGTTTAATGACCTCGATTTGTTATGTTTGACTCTAGTAACCCCAAAATACAAAAATATAGAGTGTTATGATTAGGTCTGGTGCCACAAATAAGAGGAATCGTGTTGGGATCCCGGTAAACAACTTATGAAAGTGTTAGAAATTTGGCAAACCATTTGGTTAAGAATGAACTCAGTCGGGGAAGAATGAATACTAAGAATGAATCCCCAATTAGAAAACAACAAGCGCAAGACTGGAGGTAGAGATTTTAAGCACCCATCAATGAAGAAACAAGTGACTAGAACTATATACGCAACCACTATGACAACCAGTCCAACACCAGTTCAACGTCAAACTATACTGGTCAATCCCAGCAATGCAAAAAATGTTTTAAACTACACTATCGAATGTTACTTTTGTACCAACTACAAAAGGTATGGACATTCGGCTAATTATTGCAGAAGCACGATGTCAACTCGAGGGAGAACTACATTGAATACCAAGATGAATATCACGCGAAGTGAAAATGTTGAAAGAAGCTATTTTGAATGTGGTGTACCGGGGCATTTAAAGTGAGAATGAATATAATTGAAAAATGTTGGTGGAAGCGCTCGTGGTCGAGCATTAAAGAGGCGATTCAAGATCCATTAGTAGTCACCAATATGTTTCTTATCGACAACCTGTATGCTACCTTTATTATTTGATTTCGGAGTTGAAAAGAGTTTTATAACCCCAACATTGAAACAATTATAGAACCAAGAATCCAACAAAATAGATGTAGCATATGTGGTAGAATTCACAAATGACCTAATAGAAAATACCATTGAGATTATAAGAAATTTCCCTCTAAATCTAAACGATCACACATTTTGAGTTGATCTTATACCTATTCAAATCGGGAGTTTCGACGTCATCATTAGCTTGGAGTGACTATCCTCTAATCATGCAGAAATCATGTGCTATGAGAAAGTTGTGCGTCTAAACTTAACTAATAGGAAAAGTTTAACCATCTATGGTGATAAAACCGGTCAGAACCTCAAGCTTATGTCATGTGCGAAAGCTCAAAAATACTTACACAAGAAATATTATGCATTCTTATACCATGTAGTGGATAATAAGAGTAAAGTGAAAGAATTAAAGAACATACCATAGGAACTCTCGAGCCAACTACAAGAATTTCCAAAAGGATTACCAAGACTACCACCGAATTGATAGGTCGAGTTTATAATTGACCTAATTCCTGAATCTGCACCCGTAGCCACGGAGCCTTATAGATTGCTTCGTCTGAGATGCAGGAACTCTCGAGCCAACTGCAAGAACTTGTAGACAAGCGATTCACCATGCCATATTTTTCGCCTTCGGGTTCTCCAGTGTTACTTGTCAAAAATAAAGATAAAATTTTCAGAATGTGGATTGACTGTAGAGAATAGAATAAATTAACCATCAAGAATCAATACCTACTTACAAGATTCGATGATTTATTTGATCAACTTCAAGGATCTACCTACTACTCCAATATAAATTTAAGGTTAGGGTATCATCAACTCAAGATATTAGAAGAAGATGTTCCAAAGATTGCATTTAGAACTCGGCACGGTCATTATGAGTTTGTAGTCATGCCATTTGGACTGACAAATGCCCTAACGGTAGTTATGGATCTCATGAACTGATTTTGAAAACCGTAATTGGATAAGTTTGTGATAGTACTTATTGATGATATTCTAATGTATTTGAAAACGAAGGAAGAACATTGGTGGCACTTGCGACCGAATTTAGAATTATTGAGGAAAGAGAAGTTGTGCCCCCAAATTATCCAAGTGCGAATTTTAGATCAAACATGTACAATTTTTAGGACACATGGTAAGAAATAAAGGAATTCATGTGGATCACACATAGATAGAAGCAGTCAAGAATTAAGAGGTGCTAAAAAAGCCAACTGAAGTGCGTCAGTTCCAAGGTCTTGTAGGTTACAACTGGAGATTCATTGAAAACTTTTGAAGAATTTCAAAGCCTCTGACTGTTCTTATATAAAAAGATACGAAATTTGAATGGGGAGACATGCAGGAAACAACATTCCAAAAATTGGACTAAATGTTGTGTAGCGCTCCAATCCTATCCTTGCTCGAGGGAATAAAGGATTTCGTCATTTACTATGATGTGTCGATCCAAGGACTGGGTTGTGTATTAATGTAAAGAGAATAGTGATCGCCTACGCCTAGGACAACTCAAAATCCATGAAAAAAATTGCACGATTCACGATCTCGAGTTAGGAACAGTAGTTTTCGCATTAAAGATATGGAGGCATTATTTATACGGCCAGATGTATGTTATCTACACCGATCATAAGAGTCTTCAGCATATCTTTGACCAAAAAGAATTCCATATGAGACAAAAAAGGTGGATTGAATTATTAAATGATTACGAATGCGAGATTCGCTAACACCTAGACAAGGCCAACATTGTCACCGACGCATTAAGCTACAGAGATAATTTAAAATCTTCTTGAGTGCGAGCTTTGACTATGTCGATCCATTCAAACCTTACCAACCAGAATCTATTTGAAAGACCCTAACTGTCGTATTTATGAATAACCCAAACTTTCATACTTGACAATATAGTTACCCCAAAACATGTTACTTGCATATTAATAAAAACAATATTTTACATTGATAAAGAGGTTACAAACTACTGGATACAAACCAACTATTTTAAAGTGTTATATATTACATAACTTCCTGAGATTCTATAGTTTTATACATATGGGAGTGCAAAATACAATTGTTTCAAACTATTCATAAGCTTCTATCGATACAATAGTTTCAAACTATTCAAAAATCTTCAACCAGTATAAAACTGTATTGGATGTTTATCTCCTGCAATTTGTTAAACATTGAGAGGGTAAGCGGTGACGCTTAGTGAGTTCAATAATAGATACAATATAATGTTATGCCATATATACTTCAATATGGCAGAAGCAAAGAGGAACAACGAATAACAAGGGCACATATGAATCATGTGACAAACTTTCCGTATCAATCATTGATTTGATTTAAAGATATACAATCAATGAGACATAACAATTTCCATGCTTGATATACATCAATAAAGCTTTGGCCCAAATGGCACAATAGACATACAACTTCGGATTAACATTTTGATAGATTTTAGGCTTATAGCCATGTCTAACCTTTTGCCAATACCATAGAATAGAAATCATTCTATTACGGAGACATGTTCTACATGGCAAGAGGCTACATACTAGTACTAACGTGAATCTAAGTCCTTTCACTGATCACATGGTCAAAGGTATTTTTTTGCTATTAAAAATAGCGAATAAAAATAACTCGGAATAATAACACTGAAAAGAACATAACACATATAACACATAACATACAACTGTTCCTATATATTAAACTCACCGTGAAATAACTAGGGGCTAAAATATTAATTTGGGCAACACTTCGGCTCTAAATATCACTTTCTTCGTTGAAAACCAGGAGTTTTCTTGATAATACGGCTCTACAAAGGTAGAGCTTCAAAACCGAAAAGATAAAATTTTCGGGCTTCTCAGGAGTCTCGGGGCGTGTTTCAGGATTTGGAATCATTATCAGGGCTTCAGGGGAAGTGGAAGTAGAAGAAATATAAGTTTAGGGGTAAAAACTGGCAAATTTCTAACATTTACCCGGGAGGTCTCGCACCCTTATATGGGGCCGAGGTTCGGATCCGATGCGAGGGGAAGAGCTAGGTGGCTGCGAGGCTCGGACCAGCTGGCTGCTTCAGCGATGTGAAGGTCAGAACAGCTAGCTCGTAGACGGCAACTTCGGATTGGACCCAACTTCAGTCCACTGGCT